CCTCAATTGATAGGCACCCCCTTAGTTTCCAGTTCTTTGTCACAACAAAAAGAATGCCTATAAATTTTTTGTACCTCTGAGTCCTTTTCCTCTTTCTTTGATCTCCTTGGAGTTTGTAGGTCTAATAGTGATATTGCTGGGTCAAAAGATAGACACAGTTTAGTAACTTTGGGGACACAGTTCTAAATTGTTTTTTGATAGCTGTTTGGCCACCCCCTCTTCCAACATGACTGTATCCATGACCAGCCTACATTCTGCATCACTGTCCCCCATCCCACCACTGCCCCTTGACCAATTGTTTTGCCCCACGTTAAAAAGAATCCCTACTTGCACTTTGGGAACCTGACATAAACCCACTGTGATTAGTCATCTTGTATGTAAAAGGACTGCCGTGTGAAAGAAGGATTTGAATTTTTTCTACTTAGTCTCAGAAATCAGAACCAATAAGGAAAGGAGGCAGACTTTGGCTCAACAGATGGAAAAAATTCTGGACTATTAAGGTTGAAAACGGAAGAGGCCGCACTGGGGCGAGAGTGGGGGAATAAGTACCCCATCTTCAAGCGAAGGCTGAGTCACCACTTACTGATGTATGTGGAGCTCATGTTTGGGATAGAAGTTGAGTTAGACCTTAAAAGAAAGAACTTTTTAAAAGTCCATTCCAAGCATGAGAAAAGTCAGTACTTGCCAATGCAGTGTAATGGCTAGAGTGTTGAACTTGGAGACAGGATGGCCTGGGCTCAAATCCTCCCTCTAAAATTATTAGCTCTGTGACCATGGGCAAGGTCACGTAATCTCCCGAGCCTCAGTTTCCTCATCTGTGAAGTGGGAATAATGAAGTTTATAGTGTCTCTGCCTCACGGGGTTGTTGTGAGACCCAGACAAGTTACTATATATTAAGGGCTCTGCTACCTCTCAAGTGTTATGGAAATGCCAATTATTATCAGAGGAGTTTTGCATGCAGGAACAATATGGCCTACCGGCTGCAGTGTTCTAAACTTTGAAAGACACACAAAGCTGAGAAAAGATAGGATCCTAGCTCTTAAGGAGGACAGCTGGGTAGTACAATGGATGAGGTTCCGGGCCTGGAGTTAGGAAAATCTGAGTTCAAATCTGGCCTCAGATATTTCCTAGCTGTGTGACTCTGGGCAAGTCACTTAACTTGTTTGCCTCAGTTTTCTCATCTGTAAAATGAGGATAATAATAACACCTGTCTCCGAAGGTTGTTGGGAAGATCAAATGGGATGGTTGTAAAGCACTTAGCACAGGGCCTGGGGCATAGTAAGCACTTAATAAATGCTCATTTACCTTTCTTCCTCCCTTCATGAAGGGAGCTACAACAAAGAATACACACACACACACACACACACACACAATCCAGGGGTAGGGAACCTGTATCCTGAAGTCCTTAAGAGAATCCGAAGATTCCCCACCCTGAGACCCTCTGCACACCACTTTTCAAAAGTTGCCAACGGCTGTCCTAGAGCTTTCTTCATTAGCATGTGATGAGCCTGGAGTCTCCTAATAAACTTGGTCTGCAGCCCCTCAGTGATCACATTCTTTCATATCATCTCTTCTTCTTAGACACAACTGAAACCCCAATGGTGAGTATTTGGTTCAGGATGACAACAGATGCAATTAAGAGAGGAAAGGACACCATTTGTTGAAGAAAACACACCCCCCCCCCAATTTAGTGCATGGCATCTCAGGAGAGCTCGGCACCTTGGAGAATGCTTCCAACCTTTCAAATCAAAGAGCTATTTGTTTTCCTCATACATATTTTTTTTTGACTGATTGAAGTCACGTTGCCTTGCCCAACAGGAGTTGTCACTTTGCAAGAGAGGAAAGCAGACAGAAGAATAAGACTCAGGTTTCTTTTGCCTTTCAGAAATCAGGTGACTAGGCTCAGCTTTCCAAAACTGCAAATTATCCTTCATTTCATCTTTTGGAAGAGCTTTTTAAAAATCATTTTTATAAGTCAAAATTCTAGGAAAAAAAAACACTCCTAGATTTGGCTTAGAAAGAAAGGCATATGAGCTTGATAAGGTAGCTGAGAGACTCAGTTCATTTTCTACCAGACGGCTGAGCATTTGTCCTGTGTCACAAGCTTGGTTAGACACTCTGTGGGACATTGGATGCACTGGTACTGTGTAACTACCTACAGGTAAACATTATGTCTTTCCCTAATGGGATGTAAGCTCCCTGAGGGCAGGGACTGTTTGCATCCTTGTGCCAGATACATGGTAGGTACTTAACAAACTAAACACCCGTTGGTTGAAAGCAGTCAAAATTTTATCACAGAGACAAGGAATAATTATTAGAAGGTCTGACTATAACAGGGGTTCTTAACCTTTTTGTATTGTGGACCCCTTTAGCAGTGTGTTAATGCCTATGAACACCTTTTCAGAAAAAAAATGTTTTTAAATGAATAAAGTAAAATATATAGAAAAACCAACTCTCTTGAAATACAATTAATAAAATATTTATTCTTAAAAACCAAGTACACACACCCCAGGTTAAGAATCCCTGGTCTATAAGAAAACTATCGCGGGGATTCAAAATCTAAAACTGGAAAGAAGCTTAGAAAGAGATAATAAAAGGGTACTGTGTTTGGAGTCAGAAGACCTAGACTCATATCTCAACTTTGTCACTTACTTACTGAGACCTTGGACAATTTTCCCTTAGCCTCTCTTGGTTTGTTTTCTCCTCTGTATAATGAATAGGTTGGACTAGATGACCTGTAAAGTTCCTTCTAACTCTTAATCTCATCTAACACCTTCATTTTACAGATGAAGAGATGGAAGCATAGAGAGGTTAAATAAGTCCCCCTAAGTCATGTAAGTGGTAAGTGGCAGGAACACGGGGTGTATGGGGTGCACAGTGAGGACTAGTACCTCTGGTGGGATGGCTGCTGAGCCCTTTTCAGGGCTGCTCCTCCACATTTGGTGTCCACCTGCCACCCAACTCTCATCTGTGGCTCCAAGAAGCTGTAGCATGTGCAATGGCCACACTCTGGTAAACTGTCTCAGCAGACGAGCTAAACCAGGCTGAGGGTAACTGACGGGCCTCAAACATATCAGTGTGTTAGGGAGTATCCACCCCAAATATGTGAAGACTTCCCGTGGTGGAATGGGCAGATGAGAACAATTTGTTTGCCCATGAAAGTGGCTGGAGCAGGCTCAGTGTGACACCTAGAGCGTGGTCAGACCTCAGAGACGCCAAGGTCATCTTGACTTTTGTCTTGCCACTGGACTTTGATGACTCTGGAAGAGAGAGTAAGTCTGATGACTGTGCAACTCTGCCTCATTTAAATCCCATTTACAAGCAAGTCAAGACATTGCCCCATCATGCCATTGATCCTCTTCAAAAATGAAGGACAAGCAACAGCAGGAGAAGAATTGCATTTGCCTTTACATTTAGTCATCTTTTTACTATACAAAGTTTCTTCCTTCCATCAGGCTGATGGTTGGTCCGGATGACCTCTGACATCCTTTCAAGTTGTAGGCATCTGTGGTTCTAAGGTGTCAATAGACATGTACAATCCAGGATAATCGAGCATCTACATTTGGACAGTAAATGCTTTTGTGGCCCAGGAGAGAAAAAGATCTCATTGTTGTCCAGGGTGATTACACAGAACTCCCTGAAAGATCATAGAAATCATGGATTCTTAGATTTGGAAGGGATCTTAGAAGTCACCTGGTCTCATCTCTCACCTATGGCAGAAAACCCTCTACAGTATCCTTGACAGGTGTGTTCAAGCAAAGGCTGGATGCCACTAACTACTTTATGAGATAGCATTGAATGGTCTAGCTTATTGAAATGGCCTTCAAAGGATCAACAGGATTTTGGATAGGGGGAAGTACCAATTGAGGACAGCCAGTTTTATTTCTTTTCTCAGCCCCTACATTCTTTCTTTCTTCTCATAGCTACTCAAGCCATGTGAGTGTTTCATAGAATTTTCATTCCAGATACTCTTATTAAATGCTTCCTGGAGGCATAGTATGGTCAAATAATAAATCCAATGGTCTAAATAAGGTTTAAAAAATACCTCTTATTTTTCTGGGAGCTTATGCAGCTCCTGGCTAATTATTAAGGCTAATCAGCTATGACTGGAAAGTTAAAATGAGGGCAAGTTTTTTTTTCTATCGACCATTCATGCCGAGTTCTGTAGCACGTTAATTACAGTTATTTGTAAAAATACGATAATCATCTGCTAGCATCTCCCATTAGTGCCCCATTACGGCAATGAATTTGCAGAGGTTATCTAGTAAAACAATCTGGGAAGACTCCATGTATACATCCCATGATGGAGCCTATGTCTATCATCTGACACCCAGCCTAGCCACATCTATACAGTTTGTGGCCAGGCCAGCTGCAGGGTGATAATCTCAAAGACCACCTCCCAGTCCCAGAAGGGCTTTGCTCTGCATCTGTATAGGAAGTACTCAAACCTCTGAAATCACAGATTTTTGAAAGTTAGCTCCTACTGACATAGGGCTTCATGGCTACAAAATACTTTACATTATTTCATTTAATCCTCACAAACAATTATATGTGGAAGCCTGGGCAAATATTACTATTCCCCATTTCTCAGAAGAGGAAATTGAGACTCATCAAAGGTAAGCAACTTGCTCAAGGTCCACATAGTGAGTAATGGAGCTGACTTGAACTCAGATCTCTTGATGTCAGGTCTAGTGACTATCCCATGCTATTTTCAAAAAATATTGATTGAAACTCTTTTATGGGGGAATGGAGATTTGATTACCTCTAGAAACCCTGTTAAAAATGGAATTAAATTGCAATACGGTCATAGATTTAGATCTGAAAGGAGCCTTACTTCAGTCCTCTTAGTTTGTAAAGTAGCAAATTGAAGCCAGAAGAAAGGAGGTAACTTGCTTAAGGGGTATGTATGAACCCAAAATTCAATGCTCTGCTGCTGCGCCACAACTATCTGCCTTGAAGTATGTCATCAGATCTAAACAGGATTTAATTTTGTTTTCCAGGCTATTTCTGTCCTTTATGAACCCATGACCTCTTTTGCTAAAAAGCCAGGTGAACAGAGGGATGATGACGTCTACACTTGTTTCTGCTCAGACCCATTACAAGTGCTGAGCCCAGGGCCATCAGCCATTGCACCCACAACCAGTACTGGTGCTCCAGAAACTCCCAGTGAAATACCCGGGAAAGGAAGAAACCTAGATCTTGGCTACAAACAGATTGAGTTCTCTTCAGAAGGTACCAACTTGACCTGAACCACCACCAAAACAAGGCATGAGCAAACTGGTCTCAGAGGAAACAAAGATTTTGAAAACCTGGGATATCACCTAATTAGTCCAACCTCTCCATTTTGCAAATAAGAAAATCGAGGTCTAGAGAGAGAAAATGACTTCCTTTAGGTCCTGTGGATTCAAGATCAGGACCCAAGTTCCCTTTCAAAAGCTATGAATTCTGACTTGAATAGATACTAGATTTTGTCCTTTTCCTGTTGAACTAGAGCATCTGGGGAAATCCTTTGAACTGAAGGTACCCCTCAGGAGTGGTCAGAGCCCACAGCTACTTCACCTTCAGCTGAGCTAGGGATTGAGATAAAGCCATGGATAGGGACTAAACCTATTATTTCATTCTACAGAGAAACCCCAGGTGAGGAAACTCCCTCTGCTAATGCAGGTGAGCATCTTCTGTGAACCTCATCTCAGTGAGTTGCCTAGAGCACTGAAACTTACCCAGGGTCACAAACCAGTATGTGTGAGAGGCAGAATTAGGACTCAGCTTTTCCTGGCTTTCTATCCACTATGCTACGGATATTCCCCATTAAATGATGTTGTCTGGACATCTGCCTCCTTAGTTGATTCTTCATCATACCTTAGTTTTGTTCTCTTTGGCTCTTGAGCCAAAGCCTTTTAAGGCTTACCATTGCATTCCTGCTTGATCCGTAGGCTGTTACCTCAGTTGATTTGACATTTCTGCCTTTGGACACTGGCCATTTTTTCTGATTTGACTGTGTGTGCACTCTCCCTCCTGGGCAGGTACCCACTTTTTGTATACACCCTGGGCAGGTCCTCAACTCTCTGTTGCTCACTTGATGAGTGCTGATTAGCCCGTGATCTGACACACTCACTGATCTCCTGTGGTCTGCTGCTACCTCTCACCTCCAGTTAATACATTTAATTAGTACAGTTAGTATACTGTGGGAAAAGTCACCAAAATTCATAAAACAGACACCAAACTCATAGAATTTCAGAACCAGAGGAATCCTTAGAGGTCAGCGAAATCCACCTGTATCTGAAAACGTAATCTGTCTATGACATCTTAAATAAATAGTCATCAAGGCTTTGCTGGAAGACTTGTAGCGATGGAGATTCCATTACCTCCTGAAGAAAGTGGAGAAGAGGAAAGACCTATAGTGACACATTTAAAATGCTTCAATATTTCAAAAGGCCCATGATTTCATTTGTGTAAGTACTCACTCCATAAATTGCAGCCCCTCTACCCTAGAGGGGTAGAACTGGTCAGACCAGAAATCTTCATCAGCCAGTAGCCAATCTTGGCTGGTGAGTCTTTCTGCTGTTAGCTAAAGGCTCCCCCATCCTCACCCCCAGCCCCTAGTGGGAATAGCTTAGGTTCCTATGAGCCTCTCTTAGCTCTTCATTTGTACCTCTGTCCTCCATAGTGCCCAGGTCCTCCTATATGAAGCCTTTCCTGATTCCCCCCAGCTGCTGGTGATCTTCCCCTCCACTTTATCTTCTCTCTATTTTGTATATATTCATATATATATTCCCATTGTCTGCTTCTGCTACACACCCCACACTACCCCCCCAAATTGCAAACTCCTCAAGGGCAGGGACTACTTTTGTTATCCCCAGGGCCTGGTACACGCTTAATAAATTCTTATTGATTGATTGATCAGTCTGTCAACAAGTATTTCAAGTATTTATTAAGAGTATGCTATGTGCCAGGCACTATACACCAAGAAATGCAAATAAAACAAAAAAAGGCCAAAAAAAAAGGTCACTGCCCTCAAGAAGCTCACAGCCTAATTGGAGAAACAACATGCAAATAATTATGTGCAAACAAGATATATAAAGGATAAATTGGAGATATCAATAGAGGTTGATGTTGATGTGTTCCATCCTTTTGCTAGACTGTGAACCTCATGATAGCAGAGACCATGTTTTATCTATTTTTTAATTTAATATTTTCCACCGATTACATGTAAAAACAATTTTTAACATTAGTTTTTAAAAATTCTTGAGTTCCAAATTGTATCCCTCCCTCCCTGCCCTTCCCCCGACATTGAGAAGGCAAGCAATTTGATATAGGTTATGCATGTGCAGTCATGCAAAACATATTTCTGTGTTAGGTTGTAAAAGTTCTGTGTTAGGTTGTAAAAGAAAACACAGACAATAAAAGCAAAAATATTTCTGTGTTAGGTTGTAAAAGAAAACACAGACAATAAAAGCAAAAATAAGGAAAGTGAAGAAAAAGTATGCTTCAGTCTGCATTCATACTCTACCAGTTCTTTCTCTGGAGATGGATAGCATTTTTCATAAGTCCTTCAGAATTGTCTTGAATCATTGTATTGCTGAGAATAACCAAGTCATTCACAGTCAATCATCATACAATATTGCTGTTATTGTATACAATGTTCTCTTGTGTTCTCTTGGTTCCACTCATTTCACTTTGCATCAGTTCATATAAGTCTTTCCAGGTTTTTCTGAGAGCATCCTGCTCATCATTTCTCATAGCACAATAGTGTTCCTTCACAATCATATACAACAACTTGTTCAGCCTTTCCCCAGTCAATGGTCATCCCCCAATTTCCAATTCTTTGCCACCACTAAAAGAGCTGCTATAAATATTTGTGTATATATGGATCCTTGTCCTGGGATAAAGACCTACTAGTGATATTGCTTGGTCAAAGGGTATGCAGACCATGTCTTAATCTAAATTCTGTGTCTCCCCAGTGCCTGGCACCAAGCTCTGCATAGAAGAGAGGCTTAATAAATTTTTATCAAGTGAATAAAAGAGTGATTTCCCAAGTATTCTGAGATTTTTTTCCCCAAAGCTGAAATGTGAGAAAGTATCTCTTCAGTTCTTGTGGTCTCTTCAGGACTAGTAGCCAGGCTTCTTCCCTGTAAGCCTGTGAAGAATCCAGCCCTGAGTGGGAAGCCTAATGGAACCACAGCAGCTTTCCTGGAAACCAGCTCCTCCACTTGGGACTGGGCCGGAGAGTTAACTTTGAACTATGTTCTAAGTTTCCATGGATCCAACAGAGTATAGAAACAAGGGCTTTGGCCTTGGAGTCAGAAGACCTGGGTTTGAACCCTAATCCTGTTGCTTACTAGCTGTGGAACCCTGGGCAAGTTCATGGATTCCAAATTAAGAGTCGGTAGCCTCTTGCAACCCCTGGACTAGAGATGGTTTTAAGTTTCTTTCCAAATACAAGTCCATGAGTTGGATAAGAAAATTTAAATTCCTAAACCTCAACTCAAGGTACCAAGTCTCCTGATCTTCCTGTCCCTGAGCCATCTTGGCCCCACCTCAAATCCAATTACTTTTCCTCTTCTTCCTCCCCTGTCTCTGCCATCTTCTCTTTGGGGTATTTATAACACTCACTTCTTTCTGTTGGTTCTAAACCTCATCTTCACCCTCTCAGGCCACAAGAGTGTATTTTCTACAGCTTATTGATAAGGAAGAGAAAATACAAATTCAGAGATAATATTCCAGAGGAGGTTACTTAGAAGGGTATATAAACCACCTTCTGAGAAAGAACTGATAGATAGAAGTATGCATACTATGGTTTTATACACACACACATACACATGTATAAACATATACATATATACATATACATATGTATATATATATATATATATTTATATCTGTGTCAAATGGTGGCCTTCTCTAGTGCAGGGTGGAGAGGAGGGAGGGAGACAGTTTGGAACTTAAAACATAACAAAAAAAAAATTTAATTTAAAAAAAAAAGAAGGGTGTGTAAAAGAAAGGTGTCTAGTTCCAGACTAAGAAGCACTTAGGTTTCATGGTCTTGTTAGCTATAGCTCCTCAAGCTTAGCATGGCCTATGAAAACAAGTCTGTCACCTGGCTCTGAGCCTCAGTTTTCTTATCTGTAAAATTGGATGATTAGACTCTATGGTACTCCCTAGGCTGGGAGACTGGGGCCACAGTGTCCAGCTCTCCTCATGGCACCAGAGAAAAATAACATCTTTACTTTCAGAGCCAGTTTTGGAATTCCTCAGCACCTCTCTCTGTGACTGATTCATTCTTCCATTCCCAAGATCTCAGCCAGTCAGGAAACCTCTTGATAGCATAGCTAGTCTGCACTGAGTTCTCTACCCATATTTCTACATGAAGCCTCTCCTGACTCCATTGGTTACTCCTGCCCTTCCTCTTAAATTGCCCCCACTTGTATTTACTCATATAATACATGCACATTGTCTCCCCTAGTTAGATTTTTTTGTCCTATTTCCTCAGTTTCTAACACAGTGTCCAGCATATGGTAGGAGTTTAATAGAAGTGTGTAGGTTAATTGGTTACTGCCTCATCACTTTGATAACTAAATATCTGCCCTCTTTGGTTTTTTTTGGTGTAAGCATATTGTTATTATTTCATTAAATATTTCCAAATTACATGTAAAAATTTTTAACATTCTTTTTTTTAAATTTTTTTAATTTTTAATTAATTTAATTTAATTTTAATTTTGAGTTCCAAATTCTCTCCCTTCCTCCCATCCCTTCCCAACCTCTTGAGAAGGCAAGCAATATAATATCGATGATACATATGAAGTCATGCAAAACTTTTCTATATTAGACATTTTGCAGAAGAAAACACACAAAAGTCATGCAAAACATTTCTATATTAGACATTTTGCAAAAGAAAACACACACACAGAAGAAAAATAAAGTTTTAAAAAGTATACTTCAATCTGCACTCAGAATTCTTCTGTTCTCTCTCTCTGGAGATGAATAGCATTTTTCATCATAGGTCCTTCAGAATTGCCTTGCATCCTTATCTGGATCAGAGTAGCTAAGTCTTTCACAGTTGAACATCGTTATAATATTGCTAAATCTGCTCACTTCCCTTTGAATCAGTTCTTATAAGTCTTCCCAGATTTTTCTGGAACCATTTCCCTTCGTTATTTCTTCTAGCACAATAATATTCTATCACAGTTCTAGAAGTTGTTCACCCATTCCACTAATAGGGGTTCTAGTAGAGCTCAAGGGGAGAGGACAAGAGAGTGACATTATCAGACCTGAACATTAGGAAGATCATTTTGGTGGTCAGTAGAAGATGGACTACAGTGGGGAGAGACCAGAGGCAGGTTGACTCACAAGCAGGCTATTGCAATAGTCTAGTCAAGAGGTGATCTGAGGGTGTGCACAAGGGTCCGGGCAGTGTCAGAGTCAGGGTGGGGAGGGGTGTTATATATCAGGAATATTGTGGAGATAGAAATGATAAGACTTGGCAATAGATCCCTATCATTTCTTGAAATTCAGAAACTTGGAAATTATTGAGGGGAGTCCTTAGGGGACACTTAGAATGAGCTAAAATCAAGGAAATAAGGAAATGACTATCAAATGACATACTTCTTTTTGGAGCATTTAGGTGGCATAACGGTGGATATAGCACTGTCCCTGGAGTCAAGAAGACCTAATTCAAATCCAGCCCCAAATATTTATTAGCTATATGACCCTGAGCAAGTCATTTAACCTCTGTTGGTTTCAGTTTTCTCTTCTGTAAGATGCTAATAATAGCAACATTTATAATACAATCTATTATATATTATAATATATAAGGATAATAGCACCTAT